ACCTGCAATAGTAGGAAAAGAACACCAGGAACATTTTAGATTAATTTTACTTTTCACTCTTAGGCTACATAAAACCATTATTTTGATTCAGGAATCAACCTGCTTGAATTGTTTAAGCTGAGCCACAGCAGCCGAGCCTTCATCAGTACAAACAGGAGCTGCAGCCCTGCTTCAGAAATGTTAAGAGTTTAGCTTATTCATATGCCTGTTTTGTTTCAAAGACTTGACAACCTGCAGCACTAAGCCAGCACTGATTTCTAAGGCCCAAACCCTAGCGTGCATTACGGGATCATCCTTATCCTAACCCAAATTTTAATTAGGTTAAGGGAATTCAGCTAAATCAGCAAATGGGAGCAGTGAACTGAGGTACCAGCTGTATTTTCAGGGAAACTTCTTTCTTATAGAAAAGAGGAAATTCAGTTCATAAATGCCAAGTAGATCACAGCCCAGACCCTGCTGCTGGAGAGAAATAAATCAGTCACAAGTATATTGTACAGAATGAAAAAGACTAAACCACCAAAAAAACCAAACTACCAGTATTTACCTGGGTACAGAATAGACAGACATCCAGGTAACTGTTTTAGGTTGCAGGCTATAGTGGGAAAATGTTCTTGACTGTAGTAATTACATTGTCAGCATCCCCATAGTTCTTTCCTTACAAAGGCAGCACAGATGCAAGTCTTTATGAATGGAACAAGCAGCCTTTCAGCTTGGCAATAAGATGCTGTATAAACAACATTGAAGAGCGCTGCAAGAGAATTCAAAGCAGTAAAATGTGCTGTTTTGATCTATATAACCACTTTGAAAAGGGTAAGTCTCCATCAACCCAAGGTATGTGACATGTCAGATGTTACTGTCAGCTCTCAGCTGCCTGCCCTAAGCCTGATAACAGCAAGGAGTTGTAATCAGTGTGCTGACAGAGATATTACAAGCCATAAGCTCTGCAAATCAATGAAGCATGTACCCTTTAAGCCATTCTGGTGCAGTAACATCAAGTATTATTTCAGGTGTTATTACAGCTTTGTATGCAATATTTATTCAGACTGATTTTGTATGACAAGCCTTATAAGCACTTGTCCCAACCTCAAAATACGCAATCGGTGTTATTACTGAAAAGAAACACAAAGCCTGGTTGGATTGGCTTTATGCTCCTTAATCATAACTCTTATCTCCTTCCTGCTAGAAAAAACACAAACCAACCCCCCCCAATAGCCTAACCCAGGGTTACTGTTTAAGACAGATCTTGTACCTGTATTTTCTTCATTGCAGGAATATTGCTCTGCTTGACTGAGCATCAAGCACTTATTCCAGTGAGCTTTGACTGCAGAGCACACTATCATGATTCATCATGCATTTGTGTTTACTAAATTTTATAAATAGTGGAAAATAGACCACAAATGATGCTTTATGTTTAAATCACTGTTTTGTCTGGCCAAAAATGTCTCTAGAGTAGTAGTGCTAGAATAGCTACATGGCTTTCCCTTTATACAGCAAACTTACATTGACCAGACAGTAAATCTCTCAACTGATACAGGTGCAACAAAGAATAAGATGTTCCAGACTTCAGAAAAAGAGACAGATTTCACAGTCTTTAAGCAGAGCAGAGCTCCTCTATGCAGAGCAGCACTAAAGGCACATGGTCTGACCTTCCCAGGCTAGCAGGAACAAGAAGAGATCAGCTAGACTGTCTTATTTGAATGAATTATAACTCAACAGTAAACCACTTTCTAAACATGAGTTCTGCTTCACCTGCCACATTGCAATGCCAAAGTGAGGCCCCGTTTGCCATGGCAGCTTGAGGTTTCACTCCAGGCATGGTCCCTGCCCAGCATGGAAGCCTGCAGAATGATCCACAGGCAGCTTCTGCCTGCTTCTTCCAGGCAGCTCACCGATCCCTCAGGGATATGCTGATGCAGGAGCAGACAGCACCAGCATGCAAGAAGATGCTCATGTTGTATTTTTGCTTTCCTTCCTCTTTATAAATATACACATGGACAAATCCCTAAACCTTCAATGGGAACTTGAGGAGCTCAGAGGGGGATGTCAGCCTTTTTCACCATCCAGGTAGCTTATTTTTCCTTTGCTCCCCATGTGGATTGCAGAGTGCTCTGCTGTCTACCCCTCTTGTCAGGGCACTGCTGACATGCTGGTGTGATACCCAGGGAGAGGAGACGATAATGGACCCACCACAGCATAGGCACCCATCACAGGCCATGACAGGGAGCTCCATAGCCACCTGCCAAACATGTGCCTGAAGACTGGCCTGTTAGAGCACCACAGAAGCGGTTCAGTTAAATGCCACCATTTCAATGTAACCATGTCATAGCCCACTCAAAGCCCTTCAAGGAAAGGGCCAAATCCAAATGCTCATCAGGAGTTTCCTCTGAATGGTTTTACTAAGCCCTCACTGTTTGGCTGCACTCATTTTACTGAGGTCCTCTGCTCTCCCTTGCTTCACGCAGGAAGAGATAGTTCCACAGGCAGCAGCAGAAGTCCCCCAGGAGCAAAGGACTCCTAGAATTCTTCTCCACCATCTCCCTCTCCAATGCAGCAAAACCAACTTGCTTGCAAAAAGAACCCAGCCATGGAGCAGGCTGGTCACTGTAAGAGTCTACGGCACTGTGCTCTGCTATCAGATTCCTCCTTGGGAAGGGAAAGGGAAAAATAAAGTCACTCAAGAAACAGCTTTGTCAGTTCGGAGATAGTTTGTACAAAAGGTTTGCATCTACTGTGGATGTATTTGCCAATTACAGTGCAGTACACTGAGGGATTTAGCCTTCAGAAAAGATACAATGAAGAATAATTTTAATACTGCATAAAAGGCATGCTTTTATGTTACTTGTTAAAGCAGTAGCTGAACACTGAAATACAGATCTCTCTTCCAGGTAAAGAAAACTGTTCATTATACGTGCCATTGGGCATCCTACCTAAAGGAATTTCTTGTTTCCTGACAGACCCAGCACTTTACCTCTCACCTGAGGTTTGGTTTAGTGCCTTCCTGTCTACTTCTGCTTTTTGGTTCAGTGGTTTCAGCTGACCATAAAGAATCATACCTGGCTCCATTCCAAGCATTTCCTGTACAATTTCCAAAGGCTTGGATCAAAGCCCTTTTAAACAAGAGGAGAAGCTGTTGCCACTTGCCAGGTTTTAGTTAGGCTATAAGGCTATTACACACAAGCTAATCGAACAACCTAGAGGTGACTGCAGGTCACTTGCTGTTTCTTTTTCCCCTGGAGGTCACAGCAACTCCACTTTTAACATTAGAATCTCAGACAAAAGATTCTGACGTGACTACAAGAAGTGAACTCCAGTTCACGGCAAGCCTGCATAGCTGTTTAGTCATTTTTAGTGCCTGTTACATTGAAGATCACTACCATGCTATCAATTTGTTGGTCTCTTTCACAGAAAGGTTGCTTACGTTGCTCTTCCATTTATAAAACGAGACCATTTATTGAGCTTTTAGCAGAGTTCTGGCATTAAAATGCTGTAGCATACATGAAAATGTGTGATCAAAGGAGTCCAGCTCCTGCTAACATTTCTTTTCTTCTAATCTTCCATCCTCAGGCAAAAAACCTGGATGAACAGATAAGTTGGTCCCATGAGGTGAATGGGACTTCAGTAACAAAGCTTATGCTACTTACACTGCTACTCATTCAGATTTTTTTGTGTGATTGAAGAAACAGGAGATTTTACTTGCTTCCAGCATTCACTCACAGAATAAAGAAAAGATTACGCCCCATTTGCTTTTCCTTTTGGAATGTAGGAAAAGCATCAATACTAACTCCTGAAATACTTTACAGGGGAAAAGATGAAGAGGGAGGAAAAAGTTTTATTTCACTCTGTATAGATTAAGATAAGCCAGAAAAATACAGCAAGGCAGTCCTGGATAGCAATTTTGATGTATTTGAATACGTAGCTTAAAAAAGTCAATGAAAACTTGTTCACAAACAACATCTGATGCACTCGAATAGCACATGTACCAATGTGGCCTTGTGGCCGTTTCCCAAGTAACAGGAAGATAAACACTTTAGGTACCTCTTTGCATCCTTCTGATCCTAACAGACCTGAAAAATAGTCCAGAAATTATGACTTGTTTTTTGAGAAACACCTAGAAGTTTTAATGCTTTTTTAAAGGAGGCACAGGAGACAGCATCATTGGACTTCAAATCCCTGCCAACAGCTCTAATGAATAAATACATGCCTTTTTGCTGTTACCATACCAACCTGAGCCAAGGGTGGTATCCTTTTATTCTACAGACAAACATGCAGAAAACCCCTCTTTACTGAAAATAATTGAGTATTCTACTACCTAGGTGAAAATGCCCACAAATGAGTTGCATGAAGCTTGTTTGAAGAGGAAAGCATTGAAGTGGGGTTTGTGGGTGTGTAAAGATTTATGGTCAGCCTTTGGTTTCTGACACTGGAGCACTTGAGAAGCCAGGAATGAGCCTCACCTCCTGCCCAGTGGCTCTCCACTGGCTCAGACTCAGCCTCCAGACTGCAATAACCACCCAAAGCAAAATAAACAGCAAAACTATAAGGTAAAATAACTCATGTGTGGGACAGAACACTCAGTTCCACCTTTGGCATAGGAACAGTCCAGAGTCTACCCCACTAATTTCAATAGGCAGGCAGACTTACCACAGCCCATTTAAACTACCAGGAGGTGTATTCAAGGGACACTTTGCAGGTAAAAAGTGTCTATAAGCATATATATATATAAGGTATTTGTATACACATGTCTACATGTATATACATTACCCAACCAACTCCTTGAACAGAAAAGCCTCTGTGTCTCTCTGCATGCTACAGGCTGCAGGAGTGAGCTGTGACCCATTGGGAGGGAGAGTAGAGTTCTGCCAATGTTCTCAATAGCTTTCTGGCTCAGCAGGTTTATTCTCTGAAGTTTCATCTGTATTATTTCAGTATTCTCTGCCGCACACCACCAGGGAGGTACAGGCATCTCTCACTAGTGTGAAAGGTTTGACCTAAGCACAGATCCTGCAAATCCATGCTTTTTGCAGTGGCAGCCCTGCCTCTCTTAACACAAGCTGCAGACAAGCCAGCTCTAGTCGAGCATTTCAAACCCTCCTCAGGTGATAAAGTAAAATAGTTCTTATGATGGGAGAAAAGGAGCTGCAGCCCCTGGGGATGTACCCCAAGAGCTGTTAGCCAGCTGCCAGATACTATCAGCTTCAGCTGAACCTGAACCCAGCAGTTTCTTCCTCCTGGGGGTAGTGTCTTGGGAAAACAAAAAGCCAACTCTTTCTTCCAGGCTCAGATTATCTGATTGCAAGGGGAGCTGCTGCTGTAAGAGGATTTGCGCTAATTACATTGCATATCATATAAAACAGTGATCAGAAAATAATAGACTCGAAAGCTAGAAGGTTAATGTGCACACCGATTCCCAACCTCTCACTACCCTGAACTCCCACGTAGAAAAATGCAGTCAGGGTGCCTAGTAAAGACACAAACCATAATTACTTTATGAAAGTGGTTACCTGGCAAATGAAGTGCTGAAAGAATTGCCTTCCACACTCATTTAAATAGCCAGTAAAATAAATAGCAAGATCAACAACCACAAAACTCCGTCTTCTTGTTGCAATTGAAAAACCTGAGACAGAATCCAGCCATAATTTGTTCCTAGCAATCACGGGGATGATTGCAGTCTGCCTGCTTTAGTGGGCAGACCAGCTCATTCCTATGCAGCAGGTGTAGGGGAACATTTCCTACATATATTCACTTTAACCTGCTGCAAACACATTATAGTCATACAGGTTACAGACTCATGTTCTTTTCAGCTCAGTGAGCACACATTAGCTTCTGAAATTGGAAATGCACTTGGTTTAAGTGAAGAGTATGGGTTAAAAGAAATACATCTCTACCAGCTTTATCAAAGTGCATCCCACGATGGAAACACACACTGCTCTGGTGGCAGAGTTTGACTCTATGTGATTTTATAGCTCTATGTAACAGAGACATCTATGAGAAGAAACTGCATCCCTGTGGGAACGTGCAGGGTCAAGAGAAGATGTGATAAAAGCCTACTCCCTTTACAGCAGTCTGAGAAAAGCCATTTTAGCCACTGCATCAAAGGAAAAAAATACATTCCCTTTTCCAGCAGGGGCTCAGGATGTAAGTACATGGAGAGGCTTGCCTGCATTGAACCCACAGGTCTCCCCCTCAGTCCCAGGAGCAGAGCTAGTTCAAACAACCCCTATGAGCGAGTCTCAGATTGCTTTTGAAACACATCCAAATACCAAAACAGCAGTGAGAAATCCAAATCTCCAATTTCCAACAACATAAAACTTATTAAGATACTATAAAACATTAAAATCATCCAGCTTCAGATTTGCTTTGCTTGTGCTCCCACACACCTTGAAAAAAACTATGAGAAATAACCTCTTTTGATGATGTCAAATTAAAACATGCAACATAACCAGAAAATTCCTTCAAAACCCTCTACTCCTGGATACAAGATGATTCTCATAAGACATTTTAAATCAATCTGACAAGCATCACCTATACTGCATGTATATATATATATCCCTGGGGTGACCATCCTGCTTCTCTCACACAAGAACATTCTCGTTCCCTTCTCAGTCTATGGAGAAGCAGGAGCAGTTATTGAAACGCTGACCTAACTGAAAACAGCGGCAGCTCTGCCATCTGACCTTATTGCAGTCACTTGTTTTCCTTGCTTTAACATTTACTAGGATTACACCAAGCTGATTTTAATGGAAAGGATAACACTTGCGCTGTTGGAAGGATCCGCTCCCTTAACATCGTAAATTACCTTGCTGTTCCTCAGACACGTACATTGCTCCACCAAGGCACAGACGAACACCTATGTACTTTGGGGAGGCATTCAGGAAGTTTTTCCATTTCTTCCCCTTTTTCACTTGGTTTCCAAGTTGTGCGTGAGTAATTACACAGTGCCCATAGGGATAAAAGCTCCTTGGAGGACGTTCATTAGCAATTGGGAAGGGGGAGGTGGAAAACGACTACAAAAAGCACTCTGCTGTTTTCCCCCATATGACTGTTATTGTATTGAGGTTTATGCCATAAAGTAGAAACAAAAGGTACAGTAGAAAACATGTTGTATTAGGACAAAAGATGCTGCATCCCACCTTCAGCTCTGCATTGACTCATGTTACTCTGAGGCCACATAATCTCAGCCTAAATGGATCTCCCACTGCTGGATTGTGTCTACATGAGGAATTCTTATGCCCACATTGGATCTAAAACCCAGGGAAGCACACAAATCAAAGCAGAGTCAGTGTCCTTGAGGAACAATGAAACACAAGTATTTTTAGAGCTGAGTCCAAAATGTACTGCCATTTTAATCTTGGTTTGAAACCTGTCCATGTCATACAATTTAAACCAAGCCAGAAAGACATCATGTACCTATGAAACTCACCATGAAGGCAGAGGAGCAGGACTAACAAGGCAGAGGCTTTATGAAGTTTGCCAGCCCTACATTTGCAGCTAAAATCCACCAGATGGCTCAGTGAAAATTCCAGCCCAGGAATGCTGATTTCAGACTTGCAGGGTTTAACATTTATTCCACAGGAAGACAAGACATGAAAGGCCCATGCAAACACACAGCACTGCTTCCCCAAATGCCACACATGCCTGCTTGCCATGGTGACACTGCTAAAAGTACATAACAATATAGAGCTTTACAGATCTATCCCTGGTACCATAAACTCCTGCTTTGAAGCTATTTACACAGAACCTCCACCCTTGATAAAGAGCCCATTTTAGGAAGTATGTAGGGAGAAAAGAACCCTGGAGTACCCATTTCCCAATGGGAATTATCCTGACTAAACAATATATGCAAGTGATTCTTCACAATTGTAGCTTAATAAGAACTGGGGGTTCAACAACTGTTAAAGAAACTTCCATAATTTAGGTGTGGGAACTTTCCCTCACTGTCAAGAAAACTTCATGGAAGAGCAGCATTCCCACAGGCAAGCAGTGAAGAGCACTTTGCTTACAGATACTTAAGAATATGATTTTACAGTGACTATCAGCAGGTTTGCAGAGCGTGGTTTTGAGTCCCAGAGCCAGTAGCAAAGCCAACAGCCTGAAAGGAAGGCAGAGCCTGTCTTCCTGCAAAACAGACAGGACAGACAGAATGAAGGATTGATGCACAGAAGGGATTAGTCTGTTGATAGCTTTTGAACAGCAAGTAATCTCACTTGGCTGCAAGGAATAGAATAGAACAGAATAGAAATACCGAGTGAGGAAAAGACTACGAGATGGCATTTAAGAGTTAGGGTAGAGCCCGCATGGACTTTTGTCTATTGGGCTTGATGGACACTTAAGTAGTCCAATTCTTCATTCGATGGGACAGCTGTAGGGAAACATGTATTACTCAAATGGAGAAAGAGACTGCTTAGGGCGTTCTAAAAAGGGTGTTGAATGGAGAAGCAGAAAAACATGTAAACTGGAAGAAAAATCATTGCACCAGGGTAGACTTCCTAACAGCAGCCTGTCCAAGTAGTGAATAGGTGGCAGCTCTGCCCCTAAAAGCTGTTCTGCAAAACCCAGAAAACAAGGCATGAAAATACCCTGCACCAGTAATGGAAAAAGACATGCTCCTCGACCAAACACATCCTATAACTACCCCTGCTTGTTTTCCTCATCCTGGCTACAAAATACCTACTTCTGTAAGCAAGTCTTATACTTACCTTTAATGGTCCTGTTATCATAAAAGCAAAACTTGCTTTTATTTTCTCTTTCCTAGCTACAGACAAGCCCTTGCAGTTATAATGAATGAGTGTTTTTGTTCAAGGTGTGTTTTATTGATCAGCCGCTTTATTCAAGAGCATCATCAGAAACTCATCTACTTATTATTTTCAGCTTCATAAGTTATCTTAACACTCTCCCCTAGGTACTAGCCCTTCCTCAGGCATGTCTGTCATTCCTGTCAAGAGTACTTCCAATTAATTGGCAAGAGAACCAAGGAAGCACTGACTTTGTGGAAAAACAACATTGGCATGAATTTGTGAATTGCACTAGAGATATATGAAATAATGAACAGCAAAACAGAGGTAAATTGGTGCTTCTTGCACCAGGCTGTGTGAGCATGGGCACAGTCTACAGGAAGTTGAATTTAACACTAAAAGAAAACATTGAAAAGACTGAGTACATTACATACTGCTGAATTAGACTGAAGGACTCATACACACATCACAATAGTGAGGGCAGAAGTCTGCAGAGATTGCAAGCATTATGTAGTATCAACTAAATGGAGCAAAACCACCAGGGTTTATCTACTCTGGGAACAGATACACTATATTTTATTTGGTTTACACAGTTGCAGTGAGCATAATGAGCGGCTTATTAAACGCTGTGTTATAAAATACAAGCAGGGCCACACAAATTCATTCAACTACCATTCCCAAGGAAAACACACACCCTGAACATGCAACCAAGTCAATACTATTACACTCAGTAATATTTACCGTAGTCCTTAAGACTGAGGTCTAGTTGAAGACATGACCACAAGCCAAAGTTCAATGCTTATCTTAGTATGCCAGCTCCTGCAGACATAAGGCAGAGCCCCATTAAGACTAAATGACTGGGTAGAGCCCCTGAGCTTGCTGGCATGGACATCATCTCCATGAGCCAGGGATGAAGCTGGGACCAGCCTCCTGCTCTTCTCCTTTGCAGCCAACAGTCCTAACAAACCCTACAGTGGCAGAGACCAACACATCCCAGAAAAGCAGCAGTAGGGAGGGTAGGAGTGCAGCAGCAATAGCTTTTAATGCTAGCTTGCATCACATTTATTTTCTGCCTGACTCGGGCTCCTGCAGCTAACCCATGTTTGAAAATGCCACTCTGACTCCTGGTGACAGGTTCAAAATGCCAGACCAGAGCTCAGCCCTGGCCCTGCTGCCTCAGCTCTGCTCCATTGCTCCACTTGGAAAGGGGAAGAGGCAACTCAGCACAACTTCACACATAAGGCAACATCTTACTTTTGATGCTAGCTTTCATCTAAAAAACACAAATGCAAGTTACCCCCACTTCATGACCATTTACTATCAAGGATTTCAGTAAGTGCTATGAATATTTGCTGGTTCTACTCAGATATTATGGCTGTTACACTTCACATGTTAAAACATCCAAATACTTAAATACAGCTAAAAACACTTGCAAGGGTAATTGAAAACCAACCTGGAGCTATATTCACTGATTCCTATTGAAGCATTTGCAGAATGCCTAAAAAACACAAGCTATAAGAGATAAAACAAGCTTTTTGAGTCTCTAGAGTGAGATCTGTTCAGGTTTCTAGGTTCATGTTTAACCATAAAGAGTATTATTTTAATGGAAACAGATATTTACACTTAAAAGCATGCCTTCCAGAGGTGAGCTTTGAGAAAGCAATAAGACTTTTCAGTGACAGCAACACTAGAAGAAAATGCATGCGTCATATGCCCATGTTCTTACTCTTAACTGTGGATAATCTACTACTGACTATTGGAATAGCTGGAAAGGAAGGAGTAACCAGTTTATCTGCAGAGCAATTGCTGTACTTGCTAACATGATATATTGCAAGAACTGTGATAAAAACCATAAATGCAAAAGGGAGAAATAAAAAAGCAAAGAAAGTACGGTAGATACCATCTAAACAGGGGAACTTTTAAGCCAGGAAATGCTCTTTTATACGCATCTGTGTATTTTGATTAGAAAGATCTATTGAATTTTCCTGTTTTCACATTCACACTTGGGGGGGGGGGGGGTCAAGACATTTTTTGGCATAAGATAATATACATTTGCATAAAATAAACCTGGGATGTCACTGCTGTGAAGCCTGCATCACACCAGCATAGGAAGCCACCCCTCTAAAACACTTGATGGATGATAACACACAAGATGGTTGACAGCTGGATAACAATCTTTTTCTTGTGCAGCATCACTGTATCATCACCAGCTGCTTTGTGAAGTCGCTTTTAGAGCTGGCTATGCATTACAAATGTTGTAATGCTTCTCAGGCTGTTAATCCTGTGATTTATTTACCAACCTGAGCATCATCAATGAACGCTGGAACATATTGTTTTGAGAATTTAATGTCTATCTATGACTATGAATATTTCCCCCACTAAACCTATAAAGTTAGTGAAAAAGAAAACAAGAAACACCTTTTGTAATGTTCATTTTGCAGGAAACTTTTAGGATGGCCCAATATAGGAATGTTATGCCATTTAATTTTATCCCCAATTTATGTTGGCTCCAGCAGCTCTCATACACCTTCCTGCACCAGAGAACAGCAAGATGAGAACACAAGACCGTGAGGTACCTCTCTTACATTAAAAATCCTGTTGGGAAGCCTCATTCCTCAAAACCTTTTTCTTCTTTTAAAAATCCAGTTGAACTTAACTGACCAACAAGATGGGTGGCTTTAACAGCTCCATGCAGGACTCCTGTGATCACCCATAGGAACAAGGCAGCATCCTCCTCCCCACACCAGCCCCTGTCTTCAAGCCAAAGATACTTTTGTGTTTAAGACATCACACCTTAGCTTGTTCAGCAGCAGCTTCCAATTGCTTAAGCACAGAAGTAGCAGTGCCCAAATGCCTTTACTGCCATTTTATTCCTTAACACAACTTTTTGCTTCCCTAAAGCTCCATTTTTGGCGCAAAAAACACAATGAAAGGCTGAAATTAAGCCAGGCTCCAATTTCTTCATTCACTCCCTTGAGAAACCCAGGCATTCACACAGACTGAAACTAACAAGAAAGCACCTGATAGATTTTCATTTTCATCATTAATCAACATTCCTCATTAAGCTTAAATGCATGCTCTCACCTTAGAAATACGCAAAAGACTGCACACAGTCTTCAGCAATACTGAAAGCATTTCCAAACACCAGGCACAAGAGTAAACCATCTTTTCCTTTAAGTGAAAAACACATTTGGGCTTCTGCTGATGCTTGCCATAATTCAGGAACATTTAAGGTCTACAACGTACGGTACATTAACACCCATGAGGGCCTGCAGAGCTAAGAAAATTTGGCATCTAGTTTGATAATTTGTCAAATTACATTGTCACATTACTTACTGTCCTCCCACAACACTTTCAAATTGAGTCTGATAAGGCTTTTGCTTCAAAGCAGCGCTTTTAGCTACTGCTTCCTAATGGGAGAGAACGCCAAACCAGCACATTGGAAGAGGGATGCCTTATTCTACAGTAAGTTCTCTGTGAAGACCAAAAACCCTTCATACTAAACTGAGGCATTATTAAAATACAAATCAGGATAAATCACTTTTTAAGGAGAGGAAATTCAAGAGTGTCTAAATCAGAAGAAAAAGTGTTCCCAACCAACAGGAGCTTGCTTACCCAGCTCATGCAAGCAGAACAGTGTCTCCAGGCTCAGTAACATACTGAGCATCCTCCGTCACTTAAAAGCAAGCCCTTCAACAAAGCCTACTTCCTCTGCTTTAGAAACAACATCACGCAACTACCAACACCCAGACAAAAATACCCACAAGCCCTCCTCAGGACACCTGAGTTGCCACTATTAGTCACAGGTGTCTTTATTTTCTCCTGTGGA